TACTTCATTTTTTCCTCAAAAGACTTTAGACGAAAATTTATTGAAATAAAAAGGTCAACGTGTACTCGTAGCATACTCGCGCTGTGGATTTGGTCGTAAGGTCCTCATGTAACTACGTAGACTGCGTGATTGGTCGAAGGTCGCCTTTGGGGTGATCATTTAGCCCAAAGGGGCAGCATATGAAGGGGGCGTGGTCACAGCATCTGTCATCAAACGTGAATGGTGAAGCTTACGCTAGTGGTGCTTGGGCTACATTCACATTTAGCCATGCCCACAGGAAGAACCTACAAGTATATATCATATATCCTGGGTTTTTTTCTGTCACGTGTTTGGTGCTCGTTGCTGCTCTAAGGTTCTCCAAAATTCAAAAACAATATGCTTAGTAATGTTTTAGTAATAAGTTTTCATCTTTACTGTAAAAGATAGGGAGGGCTTAGCCCTGTTAGCCCATATATACCAGCCGTCCCTGTTCATAGGTATGTTTTCATTAGTGTATAATCACCTGAATACAAGTGTGTTTTTGTTATCTTGGAATGAACTGTTTTTATCTGCAGAGGCTCTCTCTTCTACAGTCTATCGTGTTGAACTTCACCACTAGATGCCACTAAATCTTCCTTCATATCCAACATGAAAGCTGAAAATTGAATTTAGTTTTCAGTCAAGAGTATCTGTTCAATCGAGGGAATAATGTTAGCATTTATCATACCTAAGACTGTTTTATCACTTGTTACTAACATAGCTAAATGGTGGTGATTTCTATTATGTGTTTTTCTTCTCTTTACAGCTGCCAACAGTGTGTGGATCAAAAAACACCCAGAGTGCGGTTACAACCTGGTGAACTCTCCCCACCTGCGACCAGCCTGGGTCTTAGACAGAGCTATCTGGCATTTAACCACCAGAGTAGCACAGGGACGCTACAAAGATAAAGGACTTCCTGCTGACATTACCAATGAGAGCCATCTGAACGTGAGTCAACACAGTCCAGCTGGGTACCCACTGTGTACACACTGTGTACAGAGTGGACATGACACACTTAATGGCATTGCATGACTGTGAGGATACACATGTGGATCATATTGCAGCATTAATCCGTCTATTGGGCTGTGACAAAGGCCATAAAACTAAATGTTGAAGTACAGATCTTTGACAAAATGTAGAAAAAGGTTGTAATTTACAACTCAAGTGCTGCCAGAACATGACCTCCAACCATGATATTTGTACAGCCTGCCGCTTGAAATGTGTTTTTCTGCAATATTAACTATAGTTAGTGGCATGAGTTAAGCATGAGTAAGTGTGATGACCATACCACATCTTCAAACGGTTGACAAGGGGTGTTATTAACTTTGTTAGAAGCAGTGTTTGCTTTCAGTAGTTTTAGGTACATTACAAACATGCAAATGAAATGGTTTAAGTAAACAACACAGCTGTTTTATTTGTTTATATTCATTTTTTAGTAGTAGTTTTGATGAACAAGTTGCGATTCACTTTGTGTGTACATTGTCCGACCGCCATTTTCCACTTCAAAACAGTGCGATCATGATAATAGAGAAACATGCCTGTCTCTCTATATCAGTCCCAGCCCCACATGCTTTATATGAATGTGTGTGTGTGTGTGCTCAGCTTATGGGTTGTGTCCTGCCGAGAGTTGTCTTCAGTGTTCACAAATTTTAGCAAAATTATTGAAGATAAAATACAATAAGAAACGCACTGATTGGCAGGGGACACCCTCATAAGACGGCTACTTTAGAAAACACCAGGAAACAACGGTGAACTTGGCGATTACATATTTATTTTATATTATCTTTATTCATTCATCTTTATTTACATTGTGCTTTTTACATCAAACTATTTTTGGCATAGCTTTATTTTATAAAAAATGTCATTTAAAGTTAAAACATATTATATATAATAATATTGTAATAATAATAATACACTAGATATGGGAACATGGGATTAAAAAACAATAATAATCTTGGCTAATGTATTCTTTTACTAGAAACATTAATTCTGCCTATTTCAATGAAATAAACATCATTGGCATGTCTTGATAAATCTTGCGTTGAAGATGTCAATAAATAATTAATTAATAATAAATAATGATTCCAACTTGTGGTCAGTCCGGAATAGGCATGGGTTTGAATAGGAATATCTATTTACAGAGGCAAGATGCCTAATTCGCTACATTTAGAAACTGGCCACACTTCCCACTGGCTGGCTACTCCATATCCTTATCTCCTTATCCTTATCTGACTGTACTTTAATGCTAAATGTCTTCTTCTTTTCCACAGCATTTTTCAGGCCATGAAAGCTCTACAGTAGTAAGAATTGCTAATGTCATAATAGTGATGATGTGTGTGTTTGCTTCTTTCTGTGTATGTTGATGTGTGTGTATCAGGCCATCCGTAGTGTGCTGTGGCAGGACGTGTATCCTCAGGTCAAACTGTGGGAGTTCTTTCAGGTCAAAGTGGACACCGCTGTGGAGCAGTTCAGGACTCTACTACAGAATGGTCTGTATTAGTGTAGATCAGTGATGATTAGAAATATTACTGCAGAACTAGGTCAACTTTGTAATAGTTGCAAGGTTTCAGCTTCAGTGAGGCACAGAACTGCTGTGTAGGTTGCCTGCGTTCAGCAGCGCTCAGAGCCCAATAGTAGAGAAACAATGTAGAGATATTTGATTAACAGACTTTAACTATCCCCTGTCTGTATGTGTTTTTAGGCACTAAGCCAAACCACAGTAAGACTGGAGGGTCGAAGGGCCTGAAGATCATTCAGGACCCAAATTACCGTCGTTACAGCAACACAGTGGACATGGACTCTGCTCTGGAGACATTTGTACCTCACAGGTCAGACTCAACACTTCAAGCTACCGCTGTCATTGTTTAAAAATATCTGTGTTTTGTAAGTAACAGTTTTCTTGGTTCTTTGTATTCTTTCATGAATGCTGATTTGAAAACCAGTCAGGTTCTGACACAAACATTGCATGGCACTAAAATTATTTTAAGTTTTGTAGACATTTATTTTTTTTTTTCTTTATTCAGAAAATTTAAACTAACATATGTTGTTTCTCAGTCTCTAAGTCTCTATAAAATGGGAGATATTGAAGATTTGCTGTCAACTCAATTAACATCACTTTTTTCTATTTCTAAAATCTGACATGTCCAACCCTAATACATACATGAAGTTCACCATGTGATTCTGTTTTGAAAGTGACAGCTGTAAATCAGTCTGCAGGATTATATGTTTGTGGTTCCATTGTTAGCCACACATCATAAACAAAAATTCCAGTTAGGAATCCTTCTTTGGAGCACTTTTGATAGGTACGAGGCAACGTAGAAACATGTATTGTCCTCAATAAAAGTTGGATGTTAGAAGTGGAGAAAAACTGGGCAGGCCTGGAGGTGTGAGCGTGAGCTTTTTGACAGAAAGAGGGACCGGAGCGATTAGTGGCGTAGTGGACTAGACGACGGTATGTCAGTCTCCAAACGCTTGGCAAGCTCTGATAGTAGGGAAGGAAATAAATCTCTTCTCTATCTTTCAACGCCTCAATCCGCTCTGCCCTAAACCAGTAATGTCGGGATATAGTATAGCATGAGGAAGAGATCCCCCAACAAGTAGCGGAGAGGGTGAGTGAGATGGAGTAGTGTTTAGACTGATGAGAATGACACCAGGTGCGTTGACTGCCTGATCACGAACTGTAGGCCGCTTGTCAAGAGGTCGACTCAAAGTTCCTCAGTGCTGCCCATGTTTTCAGCTTCTGAAACGATCAGCTTTGAGGAACAAATCATGTTCAAGCTTTGGCTGCCTAAGAGTGTATAGTCCACTCATCGACAGGTGGTATGAGGTAGAAGCGCCATGGACTGAATCTGTTTATTCATCCTTCAGCCAGTCAAGTGCTCGAATTGGATGTTAACAGCTGGATTGGGTGTGTATGTGTGGTAGCACTGTCAGGAATGTAGACTAGTGGTATTTTTTGCTTAGATGCGTGCCTCGTCTCTGCTGATGAAGCCTCCTGCCCTGTGGCAGAGCAGTCGAAGGGGTGCGTGGTGTTGGTTTGTGGGCTGAGACAGAAGCTGGGAACGAGGCTGGAATTTGATGAACGCAGTAGCCAGCGATTCATGACCTAGCGATCTAGGAGCAGGTGAGTGTTAATGAGCGTCTTTGGAAACCATGATATAATGCACATTTAATGAGGTGCAATCAATAGCGTGCATAGTCCAGAAGTACTGCATTTTGCTATTAGGATTGTATTTTATTCTCTTGATTATATCCATTGGTGGTGCTGTTGGGCATGGAGCACGAATGGTAAACGGATTGAAATCAAGAATGCCATCTCCCTGTTGAAAAGGGGAGAACATTGCTGATTGACGACATGAGCGGTTGGTTGGCCATATGGAGGAAGAGATGTGAAGCAGTTTTGTGCGCGAGAAACTGACAGACTGGGCATCCTGTATCGGCGCAGGGCTGGGTAGAAAGAGGCTGTGTGGTCATTCGCGTCTCAGATATTTGGAGAGCTAGAGACGATTGCGGCGACGGGACTGGAGTAGGAGGGCCCTGGTATGTAATCTGGGGACCTGTATGTAATGTGGGTTAGAAACAGGTTTGGACTGCGCTGGTACAGCGTCGTGAGCAGTACTCTGCGGCATCGAGCTTTGCGAATCTGGTCATGTCGGCTATAATATGGGGTGTACGGGGGGACGGTGTGTGAAGGTTACAGATTCCCGCGTGAAGAGAATGTTACCATTGAACATATTTCGACCAGAGAAGCGCGCACTGAAAAGGGGAGGTAGTCGTAGGTGCTATAAGTGTAGGAGATGGCTGTTGAGTTA